AAAAAAAAAAAAAAAAAGAGAAGATCGTTGGACGACAATGCATATATATATATATATATATATATATTTATAAAAATAAAGAGACAAGCGTGATCGTAAAAGCGGGATGCAAATCAAATTCGTTACCACGGTCTATATCGACATTTTACTTTACCAATTGCATCCAAGGCAGAACTATTACAGCTTAAAAAGAACATAAATTATTATTTTCCCCCAATCACGGTCCCAGAAAATATGCTAAAAAAATAAAGCCCCAAATTTAGCTACTACATCGCTAAAGATTTCACGACCTAACCGAAACCATACCAAAAAAAAGAAAAAAAAAAAAAGTACAAAACCCTAAACGAAATTGAACCGTTGAACAAACTATTCAAATAATCAGCTTCTTAAATCTAAACCAAACATGCTAAAACCTCCAAACTGGCCATCATTCAAGAGTTACGAACTCGAATCCTCACCCGAAGCACGCAGAACTGTCAATAATCGAAAATATAGACACAAAAAAATCACAAGTACAATCCTCACCCGAAGCACGCAGAACTGTCAATAATCGAAAATATAGACACAAAAAAATCACAAGTACAAACCGAATAGAAACACCAAGAACAAACACCAAAAGGAAATCACAGAGAGGAAATCAGAGAAGACAAGCATGATTTGAAGCAATAAAACAGTAGCATGAACAAAATAGTAACAGAGATCATACCTGGCGAAAGACGGAACGGCGAACAGCGGCAGGAGCGGGAGGATCGAACGAGGAACCGCAAGAAATTTGCAGAGGCGAAGCGGAGGAAGAAGAATCGGAGAGCAAAAAGAGACGGGAAAGGGAAGAGGAGGAGGAAGAGGAGGAGGAGGAGGCGGCAATCGATATAAAAGCAATCTTGGTTTCCATTCCATATATGTAGAGGTGTTTTGTTTGAAAAACTTTACATCCTTGCGACCACCTTTCCTCGAAATTATTCTATATTTGCAATCTTCGTTGCTCGAAAAACTTTACATCCTTGCGACCACCTTTCCTCGAAATTATTCTATATTTGCAATCTTCGTTGCTCTTTGTCCTCTTCGGCGCTTCCCGTATTCCCACCACTCTCCACCCCTCCCCGAGGTGGGCTATTTTCAGGCCCATTTAAGTTTTCCGGCCCATAATACGCTGGGCTTTACTGGGCCGGCCCGCATACGGTGTATAATTTTAAGGTAATTTTCCGGCCCATAATACGCTGGGCTTTACTGGGCCGGCCCGCATACGGTGTATAATTTTAAGGTAAATTAATAAAAATACATCTCAAAAATATATATTTTAACTTTCTTCAATAATTTCCTTAAAATTAAAAAAAAAAAACTCAAAATCTTTAAGTAATTAAAAAGTTCTCCTAAACTTTCAAATTTTTCTTTAAAAAAACCCTTAAACTAATTTTCTTTTTTATTAATATCCTTACATTTTTATTAATTTTTTAAATATTATTTAGGGTTAATATTAATTTTCTTTTTTATTAATATCCTTACATTTTTATTAATTTTTTAAATATTATTTAGGGTTAATATATAAATAAAAAACATAACCATTAATTTTAAACTTTTTTTTGGTCTATAAACAAAAAAAAACATGCATATATATATATATATATATATATGAATTTTAAAATTTATTTTATTCTATGATCTCTACAACTTTTTCAATTTTTATATATATATATATATGAATTTTAAAATTTATTTTATTCTATGATCTCTACAACTTTTTCAATTTTTTGTTTTTCTCTATTTTAAAATTATTTTTTAAAAATATTTTGTAATTATTAGACTCGAAAAACATGCATCTTTCTTTTTAATATTTCGTCCCTAAAAAATTTAAATTATGCGTGTGACGATATTAAAAAATTATTTAAAAAAATATGAGTAAAATTAAAATATGCTAAAATATATGTAGGCAGAAAAATCCTTGTTAAGAAAAAAAAATAATAATAAATAAAAAGAAGCGTGGAATTTGACGTCGGTTTATCGTTATCCATTATATGTATATATTCTTATCCATATTAATTAATTGGCGCGAATATATCACACGCGCATACAAGCTACGTAAAACACACGCGCAATTAGAAAGGCAGGCCTCAATGATAGCCTTCACCAATATCTTGAAGTATCTTTCAAGCAATTCCTGCTTCTAGCAGAAGAGCTCAGCTCAATTTGGTTCTTCCATTAGAAATGGCGGACGGTTACTGATCGAAGCCGTGAAAGGTAGCGGTGTCTCCTTGTCGTCAACTGCTTGTCTGGTTTGAGTGTTGAACTTCTCTCTCGATTGCTTTTGCTGAGAATTTCCCCACGGTCATGGTGGCTGTGTTACTCCGTGGTCGTGTGTTCTTCATTACTCATTTGTAGATATTTCTACGGCGATTCTGGTTTCGTTGTGTTGAGTTTCCGGTTGACCTTTGTTTTTCAACGAGGAGGAAAATGGCGGTGCGAAGTGCTTTGATTCTTCAGTTGACGAGTTTGACTCTGACGATTCTTCTATTGGCTGTCTCCGGCGAGTTTTTCAAGCCTTTCAATGTGAGCTACGACCATAGGGCTCTGATCATTGATGGAAAACGCCGCATGCTTATCTCCGCCGGTGTTCATTATCCTCGCGCTACTCCGGAGGTATTTTGGCGATTCTTCAATTCTTACCGCTTCATGTTTCGTCTTTTTAGATACTGAAAAATGCGTGAGAGAATAAATCAAATTGGTATTGACTGAAGGGAAGTGAATTGGATGTGTGTATAATTTAAGTTGGTCAGTGTCACAATCGCACTCTTCTTGCCAGCAGACTTGCGATTGTGCGGCACTCCCTCCCTACACGAGGTGAGTCAAGTCAATTTTTATTTGCGTCGCCTACGACTCAGCAATGTATGCTCAAGCCTCTGGCGCGTTTGAGTCAAGTCAATTTTTATTTGCGTCGCCTACGACTGAGCAATGTATGCTCAAGCCTCTGGCCTGTTTGAGAAGAAGGCTTTAGAAAATGGAGTACAAAGATTTTTGAAAACGAGTTTAAAAGTAAGAATGAAAATAACATATAACTTTTCGGATGGGGAGAATTTGACAACTAATAGTATCCCCTGTTGTACATTTTGAGGTCCTGTAGTACATTTTAAGAGGTGATTCAAGTCTGACAGGTCTAGATGTGATTTCGTTGAATGGTGATACAAATTCAGGGGAGGAGTTGTGTGAATGTTTGATTAATCCACCACACCTAAATGGTGTGAAAGTTATCTTATTTATAATCAAATAAATTACAAGGATATGAAAATAGTAATAAATGGAAATAACAATAATAAAATATCAAATATAATATATATGATAAACTATAATTTATTACTAAATATCTTTAACAAGTTGACAACTAGTCACACCCCTAGTACATTTTGAGGCGATTCAGGTCTAGCAGGCCTAGACATGATTTCGCGAGTAGTCGTACAAACAGAAAATACAATAGTAAGACAATCCAACATGAAATTAAATAAAGGGTTCGGTGTGGCATGGGCATGCGGCCATGGGCAACACGCTTTGGATGAGCATGACCGTGACACTCAACTATCTTGGCCCTTAGCACTTGAGAGTTATGGCGATGCAGCCTGATCGAATCGTTTCTACATTTTTGGTTGACACTAGCTAACTGGCTAAGCGATTAATTTGGTCTTATGTTTTTACATGATCGTAGATGTGGCCTAATATAATTGAGAAGAGCAAGGAAGGTGGGGCGGATGTCATCCAATCTTATGTGTTTTGGAATGGACATGAACCAACGAAGGGACAGGTGCAGTAAATTTTTTGCAAGTTACAATTCTTCCTGTTAGCAGTAGTTTGCCTGGTTACTTAAATACATTTACATTGTTTTATCTTTCAGTATAACTTTGATGGGAGATATGACCTTGTCAAATTTATAAGGCTGGTAGGATCCAGTGGCCTATACCTTCATTTACGCATTGGACCATACGTGTGTGCGGAGTGGAATTTCGGGTACATTCTCTCGTTCCCCATTAGTTCGTTCTTTTACTAGTATAATTTATGAATGTCGGCCTTTTCTTCGCGACTTTATTACTGTTATTGTGTATTAATTGCCAATGAAATTGATGTCATTTAAGTCGAGAAATTTCTGGCATTCACTTTGTGAGATCTCACGTCAGTTGGAGAGGAGAACGAAGCATTCTTTATAAGGGTGTGGAAACCTCTCCCTAGCAGACGCATTTTAAAACCGTGAGGCTAACGACGATACGTAACGGAACAAAGCGGACAACATCTACTGCAGACGCATTTTAAAACCGTGAGGCTAACGACGATACGTAACGGAACAAAGCGGACAACATCTACTAGCAGTGGGCTTGAGTTGTTACACACAAGTTTTTGGTATCATCTAGTAGATTGGTACTCTATGCTTAAGATAATAAAGCATCACACCAAGGTGCATTGTAATGGCTTCGTATCGGGGCAAGGCTATTATTATTAAGATAATAAAGCATCACACCAAGGTGCATTGTAATGGCTTCGTATCGGGGCAAGGCTATTATTATACCATATTTGTGCCTAGAAGAACAATAGTTTAGATAAAATCGCAATTTGTCGTGGCTAAGGCTGTTTGTCGTGCTCGTTTCAGGTAGCGTATTTTTATTGAAGAATGCTGTTTGGATGAGCTTCTAATGACATAGCTCAGTATTGCAATGACATTTACAAAATTTTAACAGTAACTTAGTATGGGATCATTGTAGGGGTTTTCCTTTGTGGTTGCGAGATGTACCTGGAATTGAATTTCGAACAGACAATGCTCCTTTCAAGGTGCGTGAGTTCATCTCTTACCATATATTTGTACTTGCTCGTTGATTATATTTTTTGTGGAGATAAAAGTTTTGCATGTAAACCTTCATAAGTGTTAGACGAACACGACTCTCCACAATAGTATGATATTGTCCACTTTGAGCATAAGCTCTCATGGCTTTGCTTTGGGCTTCCCAAAAGGCCTCATACCAATGGAGTTAGTATTCCTCACTTATAAACCCATGATCATTCCCTAAATTAGCCGATGTGGGACTTTCATCATCCAACACCTCCCCTCGAACAAAGCACGCCTCCCCTTAATCGAGGCTCGACTCCTTTGGAGTCTTAGTCATTTTTGACTGCCTTCATACCTTCGAGGAGGCTTGACTCCTTTTTTCTTTTTTGGAGTCCTTTGTTCGACATTCGAGAATTTGCCAATCTATTGGCACGGCTAAGTTTAAAGCATGGCTCTGATACCATGTTAGACGAACACGACTCTCCACAATAGTATGATATTGTCCACTTTGAGCATAAGCTCTCATGGCTTTGCTTTGGGCTTCCCAAAAGGCCTCATACCAATGGAGTTAGTATTCCTCACTTATAAACCCATGATCATTCCCTAAATTAGCCGATGTGGGACTTTCATCATCCAACACCTCCCCTCGAACAAAGCACGCCTCCCCTTAATCGAGGCTCTGATCATTCCCTAAATTAGCCGATGTGGGACTTTCATCATCCAACACCTCCCCTCGAACAAAGCACGCCTCCCCTTAATCGAGGCTCGACTCCTTTGGAGTCTTAGTCATTTTTGACTGCCTTCATACCTTCGAGGAGGCTTGACTCCTTTTTTCTTTTTTGGAATCCTTTGTTCGACATTCGAGGATTTGCCAATCTATTGGCACGGCTAAGTTTAAAGCATGGCTCTGATACCATGTTAGACGAACACGACTCTCCACAATAGTATGATATTGTCCACTTTGAGCATAAGCTCTCATGGCTTTGCTTTGGGCTTCCCAAAAGGCCTCATACCAATGAAGTTAGTATTCCTCACTTATAAACCCATGATCATTCCCTAAATTAGCCGATGTGGGACTTTCATCATCCAACAATAAGATAGTTAAGCATGTTGGTATTTCAATTAATCTTTGTTGCAGTGATATGATTAACTGTAGCAACACTTGA